GGAGAGTGGGATAGTGTGGAAGGGGGGGGGGGGGAGAGAGAGAGAGAGAGAGAGAGACAGAGAGAGAGAGGAGAGAGAGAGAGAGAAAGAGAGCTGAAGAGAGAGCAAGAGAGACAGAGGGTGATTCAATGTGTTTTTGTAAGCATGTTAGTCATGAGTTCACTGACAAGTTTTATTTTCTTTCGAAGCAGAGAATAAAAGAGCTTTAGTACTTGAATCCCTTGATGTCTCCTTGGCTTAATCGTCTCTCAAAACATTCTTCTCCCCGGATCCAGTCAGACTGTCCTAACTGAGTTTTGTAATTGCTCTCCAGAGCGTCCCTCTCCATTAAGCTCTGGACCAGGAGTGAGTGGTGTACTGGTTCCCGAGTTCCCAGTGCACACATATCGGCACACACTGACGGCCATGCCTCAAAGATACTCCCACCAGAGGAGGAAAGCCAGCACAGCTGCTGCAAGGAGAATGGAGAGGAGAAGAAGGGACCAATGCAACACTAAGAACAGCAACCCAAACAGCAGCCATAACCACCGTTCGAAGAAGATCGCCATGCTCTCCAGGTATCAAAAGCAACAACTTGGCACAATAGTGCTATTGACCTCTCTTGATATCTGCTAACTTTATTCTGACTCTGAGTTTTCTGACTCTCTCAAGGTCCTTGATTCTGTGTCACTCTAAAACCAACGAGGACTGCCCCAGTCTTGAAGGGAAGGAGGTCGGTAGGACAGTGATGTCAGAGGAGAGAAGGACATGGCGTTTAGGCTGGAGAACAGACGTGGCCACTGAGGATAAAACAGGATGTAGGAATGTAGAAATCGAACAGTGGAGGATGCGGCAGTCAACCCCGAACACAAGTGGAGGCACAGTAGCTGACAGACAATTGCTTCACACCACCCCTTTGAGTGAAAATAAAAAGAGCTTGCGGAGATCTTTTAGCATCAAGGTATGAATGCAGGGGTTTCACTCAACATCCTTGTCACAATCGAAGCACAAAAATATGTCGTGAGAAAGAGATGTTTCCTAAATTGCTTCAAAGCATTAGAACCACATAAATAGCCTCGAGCACATACAGTACAATTGGGACCAGAGGTACAGTATGCGGTCAATGAATATTTTATAGTTTCCTTTATATACTACCACAACGGATTTTCAATATATCATTGGGTATTTGCATCCATTTTAAGCACAGTCCAATGAATTTTGAGGGGACAATCGACTCACAAGAGATTTAATTTAATTTAATTATTGTGCTCCATTTCATTGTTACCTGGGGCAACCTGAGCGGTCCATGCTGGAATGATCACCAGTCAATCCTTCACTCACGGGAACACCTGTGGGCATTATAGTGTCTTCATGGAGATATATTATGTTCACTTCGGATATCATAACTGATTGAGGGAAGGAGCCTACATGCTGAGTAAGTCTCTGCATAATTGAAGCACATTGTTGCGACAAACATATGAAATGCAGTTGATGGCTATGAGTCGTGTAATTCACTTGAGTTCTGGCAACCTGAGCCGCCTATGTCACTAGTGGACAAAACACAAATGATCACAATTTGGCCGGTTCGGTCAAACATGGTCAAGTCAATGTTGGCCTATTGGCAACATAAAAATCCTTTATCCCTAATCAATTCTTACCAAATATGCCTCATTTTATTTGTGTCACAGATCTCTATTCGATGATATGCTCTGTTTAAACTTCATTTGGAACAAACCTTCATCATGTAATGTGTTATAGTCTCATGTTTTGGACAGGTGTGATAATCGTTTGGCCACCGTGTGTGTGTCTCATGTTGTTCACCGCGGTCCAAAGAATGCTCAGGGAGTTTGTGTGAGTGCTGAGTAGCATGGAAAATTAGATTGAACATTACTTGAGTGCCTCATGAACACAACGTGGCTATATCTCAATGTACCATGCATTCCTGCTTTCATATCTGCCTTCCGACTTCTGATGGTACACATAATTCCACCGCGCAACCTCAAATGGACCATGGTCATGTGACCAACACATTCAAAATAAATGTCTACACATCATGGTTTTTAAACTCAAATTAGAGTTTTGCATGTTTTCCACAAGTTATTAATAACATAACCCTTTTTAGGTCTTTTATTGATTCTCCTCTATTTATATTTCTATTTGCCAACTTTCATTGCTTCATGACTGTAATCTATTTTGTATTCATGAAGCACGTAAAACAAATTTGCACGTGCAATGAAATCTTTCACATGTGCTACAGTTATTACTCACAAAGTTACAATAAATCAACATTGGAAAAAATATTGCATAAAGTCTAAAGATGAAAGTGTGGACTCTGCTGCCAATTGCTGATCACATGCTGATGTTGGTATGCTTGTAGTTTGTGGGTTGCAACTGGTCTGAAGGTCAAATATTCAGACAAACACAGCGTTTATTGTTTCTTGCTTTACACAGCGAGGCCTTACATTCCACTAAAGTCCACAGCTTATCAGTAAACAGTAATGCAGAAAAAGATGACTGAACAATTAAACATTTGTGCTGTGTAAGATTGAAACTCAGAACCTCTTGCTGTGTTCAGCTCTGCTCACTGTCTAAGACAGGGGTCACCAACGTGGTGAGGACCACACCAATAGCCCGCCAGTGCTAGGATTGTGATTTGCTAGTAGAAATTATGATTTAAAAATGCAAACACTGGCTATATTGTGAGAGATCTTTAAGATGATCAGAGCCTGAAAACTTAAATAAATCATTAAGCATTAAAAATAAAAATGCAATTTGTACAGATGTTATTTCAGACGTGTATCGATTTGGTCACCCTTCACACAATCAGTACACATGAAGTAACTCTCTCTCTCAAAAAGGTTGGTGATCCCTGGTCTAAGACATACTATAGCTATGTGAGGTACAGTACTTGTGCACAGACGTGGAGTGGCCAGCATTTCTTCAAATTGTTAGCCCAGAAGGGCGTGCCCGTAAGGGAAGTGAATATGAATAGGAAATTAGCCAGCTAATGATCTTTAAATAAGGTTTATGAATTATGAAACCTCTGCCATTAGCCTCTCCCACAGCATCATGCATGGATGCCTTTTTGGGGGGATCAGGAGGGCCAGATGAGTGAAAGGGCGTATGTAATTGTCATAAGACATGAAAAAAACCCACTCTTTTTGGAATGTGTCACACTGTGGACATCAAGCACGTCTTATCCTGAAATAAACAATTTCAATCTACAGGTGGCCCGGTAATCAAGTGGTTAGCACGCCGACTTCACAGTGCAGAGGTGCAGGGTTCGTTTCTGGCTCCGGCCTCCCTGTGTGGAGTTTGCATGTTCTTCCCGTGCCTGCGTGGGTTTTCTCTGGGTATTCCTGTTTCCTCCCACATTACAAAAGCATGCATGGCAAGCTGATTGAACACTTGAAATTGTCCCTAGGTGTGAGTGTGAGCATGGATGGTTGTTCGTCTCTGTTTGCCTTGCAATTGGCTGGCAACCGGTTCAGGGTGTCCCCTGCCTACTGCCCGGAGACAACTGGGATAGGCTCCAGCATTCCCTTGTGAGGATGAAGCGGACAGGTAAATGAAATTTCAACATAAATTTTTCTGCAAAGTCTCCCTTCAGTATAGACTTAGAAACATAATTTTTTTAAAATGATCACCCGCTGTCCGGAATGTAAACAAATCAATTGCAAAAAGGTCCTAGGCAATTTGTCTAAATTATGTTTTTGGCTGCAAGTCATTTCACCACAATAAAGGGTAAATAGTGTAGGAGTCGGAATTACACAATAATATGCTTCCATGAAACTTTGTAAAGGGGTGGCAGCACCGTTTCAATTTAACGATTACATCTTGATGAGGACCTTGAGAATTTGAGTTATTATGTCAACACTGGAACCGGCCACCCCCCAGAGTCATAATGGCATCGCCTGTCTGTTCATCATCCTCTGTAGAATGTAACCTGTTAAAACCTCTGGCTCTTCTCTGTGCACTTATAAATTGCACTAATTATTTTCTTTGTCCTTGACTGTGATCCCAATAACTTGCAGGTAGATGCTGTCAGAGTCATAAAGCTTGCTTTATCTCCTTGCCTCAAAGATTCATTTCGGGTTATGGTTGTTTATTCTCTCTTTTTCTGACTCTGTTTATCTGTGTTTTGTAGGACAGCAGTATTTGGAAGATGTGTGTCGCCACAAGGCCAACGGAGGACGTGTGTATCCCACAAATGGCAGATAATTGCGGCCTAACAGAACACAACCACAGTAATGCGGAGCCAAGAATGAATGGAGCGGATTCAAAAAGGTACAAAACTATGTGTGCTGGACAAAGCTGTCAAGTTTAACCCTTTCATGCACCCTGTATCCTGATAACATGGTAAGCTGTTCACTGTAGTCACAGCTGTCCCAAAAAGGGTTAATTGAGCACATTTTACTTTGTCACGCAAAACACCTCCCACTCAGTTGACCACATTGGAAAATATGAGCGTTTGAAATACTAAATAAAATACACATGCACTGTATTTGATACTTTGATATGCTGTGTGATCATCTAATAATGAGGCATTCCCATACCCTGCTTTATCTAGAGCAGTGGTTCTTAACCTTGTTAGAGGTACTGAACCCAACCCGTTTATCTGCACATTAATCGAACCCTTCATTAGTGATAAATAAAACTATGATTTTTATGAATTCAACACATAAAAAATGCATTTATTAAAAACTGAAAAAAGGAAATAATATTTCAAGACATAAGTATATGTTTTTTTAATTGTGCACAAAATGAACCGTGCATGACGCACTATCACGACAGTCACACTTTGACGACTGAGCAAACTAAATTTCCCGCAGCACAAATTGGATAAGCAATTGTAATGTGACTATCTGCAGCCAATGATGGCCAGGTGGGCGTGTCATAACTAATTGACGTGTTGAGTCGGGTGTGTCTTAACCTCCATTGCAGAGGCTCCGTTGAACTCCTGGGACCAATTCACCGAACCCTTAGGGTTCAATCGAACCCAGGTTAAGAACCACTGATCTTGAGAGAACAATTTTTTTTAAAAAAAAGTACACATTCTGTCTTTGCAAATAAAAGGATGCTTGGTTTTCATTTACGTAGGTAGTTGATTGTCATCTGCAGAGGTTTACACCTGCACTGAGAATTATTTCTTAGATTTTGTACTGGTTAAAATCTTCAAAGCAGCTCTCTGATGCAGTGATGTTACTGTCGTGAACAATAATAAAGAAATTGTCATGCCAGAAAAAAATGAGCAAACCTAGGGGAAGCAGAGGACTATCGCTATTAGAAGTTTACTTGATTGGGACAAAGCATTTGAGTAAAAAAAAAATAATTTAAACAAAATAATCGAATTAAACAAGGAAGGCTGGTGGCTGAACAGGAAGTAGCAGGCACACCAATGGGCACCTGGGCAGCATGTAGCAAAACCTGAGAGAGACCTCCCAAAAAAGAAAAATTACATCACACAGGGCACACAGGGCAGGGATCAGGTGTGCCCTGATCCCTGCCACGTGCCAACACCATAAGAAGAAAGAAAAACAAACACACAAACAAACAAAAGCCAACAAGACATGAATTATGACCAAAACAGCAAATATCAAAATCCAAGAAACACAGATTGGTGCATCTTTGTTAAGCTATAGATAGAAAAACAAGACAAATAAAGCATGTAAGGTAAAGGTGTAAAAAGAGTACACTATTTAACATATCCAACATTTTTTTTTTTTTTGCTATTTAATTCTTGTGTTCGGAACCATCTTGTGTTCTTCGTTTTCTTTTTCCCTCAGAGGTTCCAACTTCCTGAGCCAAGAGGAGCTGGCACCTTTTAACGGACAGTGTTTAAGCAGCGGTGCGTGGATGGAGGAGGTTGGAGTGAAAAGCATACACACCAGAGCCCATCGAGAGGTAATAACACAGTATAATATCATAAGTAACATTTATTGGGTCATTTCTCTGCTTGAGATAAAATAGTCTACATCAGGGATGGGTGCGGGCCACAATTTTTCAGTCTTTCTACTGGGGAGCCACAAAGGACCATGCATTTCCTACCCAGATGGCTGACAAAAATGCAATTTTAAAGAGGGACAAAATATGTGCATAATGGCAAAATATGTGCTTTTAATTTCCAGTCAAACCTCGGTTTTCGTCCATAATCCGTTCCAGAAGGCTGTTCGAAAACCGAATTGTTCGAAAACCGAAAGCACGCTCTTTTTAAAAAAAAAAGTTTATTGAACACGTCTGCTCACAATGGTAAGCGACACGAGGAAGCGTCACTTCCTCGTGTAAGGAAGGCAAGAGGAGTCAAGTGGTGCATTAGAGTGCACTCAATTTGTTCGAGAACCGAAATTTGTTCGTCATCCGAGGCATAAAAAACTCGAAATTTTTGGTCGAAAACCAAATTGATCGAGAACCGAGACGTTCGAAAACCGAGGTTTGACTGTATGTCATTTTGAGAATACATTTTTCAAATTTTCAATGTATAAAAGATCCACTATTCTAACCAAACAACAAAGGGTTTGAAGCAAACAACAAAATAACCACAGACTCATTTCTGTTTCCAGCTCAAAGGGCTCTCTTGCATAAAACAAACAAACAAAAAAATACCATTCAAGGAGAGCACAAAACTGATGAACAAGAAACAGATGTAAATTTTTTTCACTCAAAATGTTAACATTACTGAGGTATAATGTTTGTCCAACTCACGCTGTAGTATTGGACAGAATAAGACCCAGTGAAGGCGCAGTGTTCACGTTGCTGCTCTATTCCAAATTTTTTGCCCATATGCGACATGTATCGGAATTTGTTTCATGCCGTATAAACAGAACAGGTCGACTGGTTACCACGCTGGCCTCACAGTGCAGAGGTGCAGGGTTCATTCAATGCTTTTGTTATCTGTTTGACCTGCTCCATATCATACTGGGAAAATTGTTCAACTGCTTCTTGTTGTCACATTCATTATAGCTAATTTCACCACCTGAAGACTCTCTCCATCAGAATATAATGACCAGAAGTCTACAACATCCATCTCTTATTACCACATCAGATGAGCTCTCATTATCTGCATCCATAGAGAAAGAACTTACCGCCAACAACAATCATATCAAGGTATACTATATACATTTCATCACCAAAGAGCTAATATTGCGACTACTGTATTTCATTTGCGTGTTTTTCGTTCATGTGTATTAATGCTCCTTTCTGTGTGTGTGTGTGTGTGTGTGTGTGTGTGTGTGTGTGTGTGTGTGTGCGTGCGTGCGTGCGTGCGTGCGTGCGCGCGCGCGCGCACGCGCGCGCGTGTCCAGATGCCTATTTCAGAGGTCAATGAAGAAAGTTGCCGTGACACAGAAAAATGTCACCCAAGTCCACAAGGACAGAAGAGCTGCAACAAAACGTACTCCAACTCACAGAGTGTGTATGAAGTTATGCTCTTTTGTATTTTAAGAGATGAACATGAACATGCGTTATTTACCAAGGGCAACAAACCACAAAGGAGTCATCCAGTTTTGGTGTGTGTATCACCTCGTAAGATTTTGAGGTTGGGGTACATCAAAACCACTTAAAATATGTATTCTAGCATTATTCAGACCAATGCTTTGCTCACACAAACATGTTACAATTCCTGACTAAGGTTGACTCAAAAAAAAAAAATAAAATAAAAAATCCTTTATGACCCAATACCTCCATTTTATGTGCGGTGTTTCATAGACCCAATACCTCCATTTTATGTGCGGTGTTTCAAACTTCAATGTCTGAAAATGTTTAAGTAAATTATGAATTGCACCTGGTAGGCATGAACATTTTATTATTATTATTATTATCATTATTATTGTGACCTGCTTTGAGAGAGCATTTCAAAGCAAACAGTATCTTGCATGGATTATAATTAGTATTGGGACAAATAATCAAATTAATTTTCATCCTTTGTAATGTATTCATGAGAATGATCACATTTTCAGATAATTTTAATGATGAGCAATGAGTGTTTTTTAAAATGAAAATACATTTTGGTAAACAACGTGCGAACGTGAAATAGTTCAATCAAAATGTTAATTTCAATATATTCACAAACCTCTAAGTGCATTTTTAAACAAAGGAAAATGATTTGAAGCTGCACTTTGAACTGATAATACCCCAAGGCTCTCACTAAGGCAAGTTCCTCTCACTGAGTTGCTCGAGAGCCATATCCTGCCTGTTTTAGGTCCCTCCCTACTCTAACACACCTGATTCAATTGTTCAGGCCTCGACAAAGCTTGATGATGAGCCTGTTTTTTCCCCCAACAAGAGCGTAAAATGTCACTTAATGATTGAAGGACGAGTATAAATTTAAACATGCGTTTTATAGATTAGTAGTGGTGTCACTTTCTGAGTGTGCAGGTAAATGCGGGCAGTTTTCCACTCAGTGACTGTGAATGTGTGTGTACATAGTTGTCTGTCTCAGTAAATATGCTCTGCCACTCACTGGCACTAACTTCCAAGTTGTAGTCTATTTTCTACCAGTATCTTACATGTTGTGTCCAGGCGTTCATCCTTATTGGATTGGGGATTTGGACAGCATCATTATGAAGAACCCTGACAGGTATATCAGTGACCCTCATGGGAGAAGTCCTTTATATGGGACCAGAACTTCCCTATCCCAGCAACTGGACTTTGTCCGCAATTCACTTCAGGTACTGGAACTTAAGTGACATTTTGTAAATGATGTCTAGTCAATAAATACCTACTTAATAAAACATAAGCCAGACATACTGTACTTCCTGTCATGAAACTCGATGACTCATGTCAAAGTAAGGACTGAAATGTGTTTGTGTGTTACTTTCCTCTTGCCTCCAGCCTGGTCGCTCTGTGCGCTCTTTGAGCTCTACCCATCTGGCCAATTCCTGCAGCAACACTCAAGCCTTTATAATCTGTCATATTGTATTGATGAAGGGTAATGGCAAGGTAGGAGCCATCAACACCTAACATGACACTGAAGCTCATATAATCTCTACTCCACACACAAAATTGTTGGTACCCCTCTGTTAAAGAAAAGAAAACCATACAGTGCTGACTGAAATAAGTTTGTGCATGTCAGAAAGGTCTCAGCTGCAAATTCATGGGTCCTCTCCTTGGTCAGCGCCCCAAAACACAATGCTAACTCTTGAATGGCTGATAACAAAACATCAACTATTCTGGAGAGCCCTTATCTAAATCATATTGAATTTCTAAGAAAGGAGTTGAAACATTCAGTCTGGAGAAGGCGTCCTTCAAATATGACACTGTTGGAACAGTTACATAAATCCCATTGTGATGTTGGTTGTCTCAAAAGGCTGTGACGAAAAAAATAAAAGGGTGTCTTTTTTTTTTTGTCAGAGCAAGTTTTATCTGTTACAGATGTTTCAGTTGGAACACAGTTCAACAATTCAAAAGTAGTTCCTTTCTCTGACATTGGGGAACATCGGACAATTGCAGTATTGTATGGCTTTCTATAGAATGACAGATTCGAACAAAATACCTTTCTTTCTTTGAAATTTGAAATGATACAATCGCAACGAATTGTGCTGTTATTTTCAGGGTCTGGGCTTCAGCATAGTCGGTGGGAGAGACAGCATCTGTGGACCAATGGGGATTTATGTCAAGACCATATTTCCTGGTGGAGCGGCGGCTGCTGATGGAAGGCTACAAGAGGGTGAGGGATATTTGTCTTGTGTCGAAAAGGGCTTCTCGTTTTTGCAAAGGAGTCCCATTCCTACGGCGGCAAAGTAAGTCCTTACCATGGTCTGTAAGTAATTTAACACTGCTAACATGGTAATTAAGTCTTAAGTACGGTAAATATTTGTCAGGACCCCAAAAAAATCTCGGCAATAAATATAAAACAGTCAAATGAAAAACAATAATTAGGACGGTGACTGAGCATGCGTTACTGTGCCGCATGACGATGTACTTTATTGTATGGTGCTGTGCAAATTTCATTGCGTGCTGTTCGGAACCTCGAAACCTGCCTGGATTGAGCCCCCCCCCCCACACACACACACACACACCTGTGCACCATCACTTTTAGACTGACAACCCCCAAATGAATAAGAGTAACACCATTTTTATACCTCTCTGTCATGTCTTTGTTTATCATAGTTGCTTGTTATTGCAATACTAGTGTAGCCTGGAACAAATTCCTTTTCCACACTTGGCCAATAAAGGGGATTCTGATTCTGATTGCTCCAGCTTGCATAAGAATGATCAAGCTGCAACAATGAATATTCGTAAAATATTGAAATAAATCTTTATGATATTGTGTGCAGGTGATGAGATCCTGGAGCTCAATGGGGAGTCCATGCACGGATTGTGTCATGACGATGCCCTAAACAAGTTCAAAGTAAGTCTGCCTGTGTGTTTGTCTAACTGCCAACTCACCTATGAATTATCCATCCATCCATCCATCCATCCATCCATCCATCCATCCATCCATCCATCCACCCATCCATGATATGATGGGTGATATCATGGTGCAGTTAAAGAAAAATGTGTATTTATGTTTTGAAAAAGGATGCACCCCCTTGGCCTTTTCTCTTTTTGCCCATGCTGTTATATTACAAACTCAAATTTTTAAATGCTTTTTAAATCAGAATTTTATTTGATGGATCTGCAGAAATTGTATCATAATAATAATAATTATAATAATAATGGGACAAAGAAATTAAAGTTTGGCATTTCCATATGTATTCCCCCACTTTGTTATGAAGCCCCTAGTCTGATGTAACCAGTTACTTTCAAATCTCATATAATTACTGAAATGAAGTCCACTTGTGTGTGTTCTTTCTGTTCATACACAACTTTTTTGAAATTCCCCAAAGGCTGCGACATCAAATCAATGTTTTACTGCTTACCAAACATAGGCATGAAAACCATGGAACTCTTCAGACAAGTCACGGACAGGGATGGGTCACAAAAAAATGTGAAATATTTGATGATCCCCAGGAGTGCCATCAAATCCATGACAGTCAAATGGAAATATGATGGCATCACAAAAAACCTGCAAAGACAGGGCTTCCCACCCAAAATTGAACCAGTTCCACAGCAGAGGCTGGAGTATCAGTCAATACGACCACAAGAGAGAGTGCATGCCATGTAGAGCTAAGATCGGTCCTAAAAAATCGAGCCCGACCCGAACCGGCCAGAGGGTATTTAAGCCCGACCCGGCTCGAGTCTGATCACTTAACTTGATTTGCAGGCCCGAGCCCGAAGCAAACCCGACATTTCATATTTTATTTGTGAGGACTTGGGAGGAGGAGGGGTGATTTCTGATAACAAAGCCTGTCTTTTGGAACGAAATCTAAGTTAAACAAGACTGTATAAACATTTACATTTTTTATATTTCTGTTTATGAAGAGGTTACATTAACCGACCATTTTCCATCATTGACGGATTTTTTTAAGAGTGGACGGGGAAAATTTAAGGCCGTTTTTCTCTGTCATTTTGACGGGTTGAAAATTGGGCCGTAAACCACCGCAGCGGTACGTCCTTAAGAGTGTAGCGCGGCACTTTAAGAGAGAGTAGCAGAGAGACAAAGACGAACAATGACGGTTGGATACTCGACAGAGACTGGAAGGAGTTCTTTGAATTGTCATTGCAAAAATTTAGTACAGTCCGTGTTGTGATGAGGCGACTTCTGTTTTTTTTTTTTTTTTTTTTTTTTTTTTTTTGCAACCCCGGCCCCCTCTGGC